AGATTGCATTATGCAGATAAAACTAATACAAACTATAAGAAATGAGAGTAAAAAGAAAAAGTGCAAAGAAAAGAAGGGAAAAAATGGTGAAAACCTAGCCTCTGGATCTCCCCCTCCCCCCGCCTTCAACTGTACTCCTCTAACTTTTTTCTCTAACTCCTGCACCTCCATTCCCCGCAGCCCCCTTTTCCCACCGATGAATCACTGGAACTCAACCCACCTGTTCTCCCCAGTGCTTTCCCCACGAGTTCTGGATAATCCAGTAGGATCCACTCCAGGAACCGCGTCGGCTTTTGCCTGCACCGAAACACACGCAGTAAACCACAACAAACTGGTCATGGGGGTTAATTTCCTTGTTCCGCATATCAAGAAGGCACCACGTTTTTGAAGGTCCATTATTGCTAAATTGGGCTAAACGCTGAGCATCCCAATTTTTCCATTCAGTACTTGTTCGCTTCTCCCAGAATCTAATACCAGAATCTGAAACTGCGGCAACCAAACTTCAACCTAATTAGCGAGTTAACCCCTTTGCCAGGTTGGCTGAATAAGTCTGGGCCTTTCACCTGACACGGGGAAGGCTGTTGTGCAAATGCAGCCAGGAATACATGTACTTTAAATGCATTTATGTATTTGCTACCCTGCCTTTCCATTTCTTTCAGCATGCAGGGCAGCTGACAACAGTAAAACATTCAGAGCATAAAATGTGACACTGTGAAAAGCAACCTTAAAATCAGTGATTCAAAGCATCAACCTGGGGAAAGAGATGCACTGGGGGCCCAATTAACTTTTTAGGGAACTCATCGCTACCTGGGAGTGGTGCAGGAGAAATCTCTGTTCCTTACTCCCACTATCCGGGTTTTAGCAATGGGGGCATCTTCAGAAGGGTCTCAATCAAGATTTGGTCTAGCTATCTTATCTGTTGATACACCCACTCCCTTACAACTGACTGCTTCTTTTCCTTTTTTAAACCCATCCTGTGGCAGTGAGTTCCACACATTAACAAGAAGCCCACAGACCCAGAACTAGATGATTGGTTTTAAATTTACTTGCCTCCTAATGTATACATTCCTCCTGTCTCTGTTTTTCAATCCTTCTTTCAGGATCTTTCTGCTTTCCTTATTTTATCTGCTCACCTCCAAAATTTGAGATTAGAAGCCTTCATTC